CTCCCGATGTGTGGTCTATTTCTCCTGGGACACTCTGTATATATATATATATATATATATATATATACACACACACACACAGGGATGAAATGTGTGAGTGTCCCAATTCTGACAGTTGGGTGAATACTGGATAACTCACAGCAGACTGACGCACTGTGGCCACCAGATGAAATGAGCTCTCATTCAGCAGTTATGGGGAAAGAAATGGTGGCTACTAGGATGCTGTGCACACGCACTGCTCTGTTTTACTGTCTGGAAAACAGAAAACACAGTATCTATAGTAATTCATGTAAAACAGTCAGGATGGCTCAGATGGTATAAAGACTGGGTTATGGACTGAGCTAAAAATCTGGGTTCCATTCCAGGTGCGGCAAGACTTTTCTTTGTTCCACAGTGTCAAAACCAGCTGTGGGTCCCACCCAGACTCATATCTAATGGATCCTGCGGGTAAAAGTAAAAAAAAAGTAAAGCTATCCCTGTAATAGGCCATGAAGGCTCATTGGGGTTGTGAGACATTGAGGGTCCCACATTATCTAGACAATCGGCTCAAAGATGGTGGTAAGGCTGTAAGCCTTACGCGCTGGCCGCGCTTTACTCCCCAGGAAAATTATTTAATAATTCCTGGTACTCATTTCTGTTAGAGGTTGAGTCGACCCCAGGGCCATAGTGCAGCTAGAAGGATTAGATCAATTGAAAAAATCGAATTACCTCATTGGGACTTGAACTCGCGACCTTCCAGCTCGTAGCATGGTGCCTCAACCATTACGCTACCCCATACTCCCTCAAAAGAGTAAAATGCCCAGGGTGTAAAGCTGACCACACAGCTATACCTGGTGGTAAGGTTAAGCATGTGTGAAGCTATACCTCCATTCCCCATGTGTTTTCATAGTGTGGTGCTTAATTAAGCACAGGGACAATTTTACCTTCTCTTTAAATTATTAAGCTAAGGAGTACCGAAGAGTACTATCTTCCGGGATATAATCCCATGTTGTCTGTTGAAAGTCAACAGACATTTCAGAGGAACATATCACCTCCATATTCAGGTGGCAAGTTCCTCCAAAACATCCGCTGAGTTTCAATGGACTACACTGTATTATACTCTAGAAGATAGAACTCTTCATTTTTTCCTTGACACTTACTTTCACACTGGTATCTTGCACGGCTTATTCTTCAACCCTGAAAATGGAGGTGATATGCTCCTCCGAAACATAGCCTGACTTTCAGTGAACTATAGGGTGTTACATCTCAGAAGACAGTACTCTTCATTTTTTCTTGCCACCTGCTTTCACACTGGTATCTTGCTCATCTTATTCTTCAACCCTGAATATGGAAGCAATGTTCCTCCAACATGTTAACTGACTTTCAACAGACTGTATGGCATTATATCCCAGAGGACTCTACTCTTCATAACCACCTCTGTGAGAACCTCATATCCTAGAAAGGAATACTGGATCAATGTCTTCTGTTGTGTCATCAGCACAGACCCACAAGTGCAGGACTCAAGTATTTTTCTTTGCTAGTAGCGCTGTGTTGTATGAGTGGTGAACTGGAAGCAACAGGGAAAGTAGTTATGACCTATATCAAGGTACTGTGTTGCATTCACATGAAAGGACCACAGAAAACTATAAGTAACCTACTACATGTAGGAAGCCTCTACTTTCTACATAAGGGCAGCCGCACACCAACTGTGTCAAGACAAGCATCAAGACACGAGACAAAAGATGCAGTCTTGCTTCATTCGTGATTTGTCAGCATGAAGCTGACATCAGCATCATGATCAGACCAGTGTGTGGCAGTTTTCATAATTTCATTCACTTCAATTGTGCTCCTTTCTTTGCGTCATGCCGCAGACATCGTGTCTAGACACATGCCAGTGTGCGGCCTACCTAACAGACACATAACATCGTGTCTAGACACATGCCGGTGTGCGGCCTACCTAACAGACACATAACATCGTGTCTAGACACATGCCGGTGTGCGGCCTACCTAACAGACACATAACATCGTGTCTAGACACATGCCGGTGTGCGGCCTACCTAACAGACACATAACATCGTGTCTAGACACATGCCAGTGTGCGGCCTACCTAACAGACACATAACATCATGTCTATAGACACATGCCAGTTTGCAGCCTACCTAACAGACACATAACATCGTGTCTAGACACATGCCAGTGTGCGGCCTACCTAACAGACACATAACATACTTGTAACACATGATCTTCTGCATCTTCCAGTTTATCTACCTCTTCTGCGCCGGCCTCAATGGCATGGTCTACAGCTGTTTCCAGTGTTGTATTCTCAGGTGGTTTGGCCTCAATCACTCCTTTATGGTCAAATAATCCTTGAATTGCACCCTCTGTATATGAAGAACTGTCAGAATATTAATGCAGCTTAACTTATGTATACTTCTGTGAAACAAATGTTTGAAGATGAATTCTGATATGTTTGTATATAGTTACAATATTTTATTTTGAACAAACTAATAATCCTGCAAGAGTTATAATCATGAGACTGGAAATAACTTAAAAGCATTTGTTATCAAAGTTAGTAAATGGTTGTTTGAAAATGCCGTGTGAGATGCTTCTAATTGGGAACACAATTTTTGGGAAAATAACTGGCCATGTAAGTCTCAAACCAAGGAACCCTAGACTTCTTAATTTAATTCTTATGAACTTTCCATGGGCTAAAGGAAATGTAGATTCATGTAGTCCAGAGCTTTGGCACATATACTCATAATTTTAGAGGCATTTTCTTTTTTTCATTTTCGTTATGTGCACAGGATTGGATGATATATGCAAATGAATGAAATAAGAAAGAACTGGCAGTTGAAACACAAAGCAAACTTCAGATATGTCTTTTATAATAAAACATGTATATTTAACGTGCTACACAAGCAAAAGATGAAGAGCTTCAAAGATCAGTACATCTCTTGCATCACCTGTGCAAACACACGCAGCTTGAAAGCATCACTTAAGAAAACTAAATCAGTGGCCCTTTATGAAGGCCATCCAGTCAGGGCAATAAGCATATTGTAATGAGCATATTATAAAATCAAACTGTCAAGAATTTTGTGGCATGTGGAAAATGGATGTGTGCTCAAGATGCTTAAGCATGCAGGTACTGTATAGTAAAGTTGCTCCTATCCTTTAAATTACTGCACGTATTAAGATTGGCAACAATGATTTCAAAGTATCACTTCTATTTCTGGTGCCCAAAATGGGATTCAAAAATGAGGACTTCCCAAATACAAATTATCGCATGTTACTTACTTGTGCTTTCTTACAATGGTGTTGAGCGCAGCTCTTATTCTACTTAGATTCTCAGTTAAAGTATACACTACAATGGTGCAACCACCGGGGCCACGGATTTCAAAGTAACATGATTTTGCATTAGATTTTGTGTCCTAGAAGGACAAAACAAACATACAACATTAACAGGTGCTAGTCCTAATTCGTCACATGTTTTTGGATCCTGGTTTTGATATAAAAGAAAGGGTTGCGGCCCCCTTCAAGACCCTAGCCAAGATATCCATAAAGAAATTAAAACCACGAAAAATTTCAGAATGGAGTATTAACCAGTATATGAAGCTTGGTGTTATCTGTTACATATTTTCCACATTAATTTACCAAAAGAACCACTAAAGGGAGAACTGTACCTATGATTCCCAATTTTTTTAATTTCTGGAGCATGTGAAAATGTTTCTTAGAAGCTACAGCAAGTAAGTGCACCCAAACTGTCTTAGTCAGCGAACAGTATCTCAACAATAATCATGTAGAAACTACAATACAAGGACTCAAGATTAAAGTGGAAACAAACCCCACGGTTACTGCTGTCTATACTGGACTGATTTCCAAAACTGTTATGCTAAAATAAAGACAATGTTCACCCTTCATGTGGACTCTTCTTTAAAAGAAAGAATCATTATGACACTATTAGAATCAATTTCAATACCTGAAATGTCATTTTAAATCTGCATGAACAAAAACTGTTGAAAGTCTACCAGAACGTGAACCAAATTTTTTACAAATACAGATTTCAGTGACTTGAATGCCATTGATATATAAAAACAGGGAGATACTCTGACAACGAACCACAAACCCTCTGCTGTTCACTGGGAAGACAGATACGTTCCTCATATCAACATTTTTCATGAACAGTCAGCAGCTCGGTCAGGCCCACAGACTAACAAATCACATACAAAACCACAGTACACCAGAAGACTGAGGAAGTTGGTCCAAGTGGCAAAACTTTTGACTTGCATTCAGAAGGTGCCTGATTTGAATCTTGACCATGGCACTTCCTATCCTAACAGATTTTTTACGGCGTTCCTTGGTAACACTAGGCATGATATCTTGAACTTGGCCATGACCACTTCCTTCCACTTCCTTTCCAATTTTTTATTAAATCATCCTATCATTTGATGCTGTATATTTGAGCTACTGATAGCATTGTTCAACAGACAGTACAGAAATAAATATATAAATAACACAAGAGAGGCTGGAAAATTCTTTTAATTACATATTATTAGCATTATGTCTCAAGGAGACCTCTGACCAAAATTGAAGGACATTTCACGCCCAACAATAGTCTCTAATGCCTCTGGTAGATGGGGGAAGCATCTAGATACCGCTGAACCAGTAGAGATACTCACTGGCTGAGTCGATGCCAATGGTACGCACCAGTACCGGTAGGGTATAGAGACTGGTAGAATATCACAGGGGGACGTACAATAGATCAAACTGGTAGCGGTGCATGGGGAAACCTACCCCCTCCAAATAATAATAATAATAATAATTATACTGTCACATGTTTATGGTGTGTGATTAATAGTAAGGTTTTGGATTGGATGATTGGACTTATTTAACACCTCCTTGTACAACCAATCATAATCAGATCAAATCTTTAGCCTAATTCTGATCTTATCTGCTCTGAACTATGACTGACTTCTCTTCTAGTCTGTTTTCTCCTGTTCCGAGCTCAAAGTCAAAGTCACAGTCACTTTACAACGGGCACTTTACTGTAAATCAGTTCATTTAGGCATCAAGCCCCTTCAGACTCATGACCAGATATTTTTTTTTCAAGTAAACCCTTGCAGTCATAGTCCTCATGTAACATCTTCCCTGACGAGAAGATGGGTTTGTCTCTTATGAATATGCTTGGCCTTTCATCAGATATACATTTTGCAGATATAGTATGTTATTGAAAATGTTTCCTTTTGCACTACACACAAGTCCTCTGTCAGTATAGGCTTTACACAGCAGACCATGCCCACCTTATGTATCTCATGCTACACTTGAACAGTTGTAAGCTTGACCACCATCAAGTTTAAGCCTCTTATATTTTCTGTCTGGCTTCAACTTGTCCTATACCATGAACATGTTCATTCTCATGATTTTATAAGACTTCTGCTTGTCACCTGCACAATTTTGTCATATAATCGTATACATATAGAAGTTTGAAAGCTGTGTGCACCATGGAAAATTAATAATGGTACACAGAACCTTGTTTTGTAGGCACTACAATTTTAAGACGTAGATGTCTGCCACTAATTCTCAGGTGAGGCAAGCACAAGTCATTAGTGATCTGATCAATGCCTTATGGAGTGTTAGTTTAATATTGGTGCTTAAACTCTCACTTTTGAATTGAGATTCTGATAAATGTTCTCAAGGCCTTGGCTTCGATCATTTCTATGTGTAGTCTCCATGCAATCTTCTTATTGAAGATTACACTGAGATACTTTAAATCACTGACAAAGGAAATATTCCATCCATTCAATAGAAGATGAGCCTCAGGGGACCTAAGTCTATGAGAAAGGTAGATGGCTTGAGTCTTATCTTCATTGACTTTTATGTTCCAGTGCTCACACCACGTTTCAATATCACTGAGAACTCGCTGCAGCTTTCTGGTCTGCAGCATATACACAGGTGTCAGGTGTTTGAGGTGTATCATTTATATAGACTGTACAATGTGCACTCAATTCTATTCTCCTCTTATATAGTATATCTGAACCAGGGAAATATTTGTTGAGCACGCGTATTAACAGAAATGTGTTCTGCAACGAGTTCATTTCCAAGAACCCATCTGCATGGAAACGTGTTTGTCACTCAATCCCTAGCAATGGGTCTACATGTCACAACACAACAGTTAAAGTTCATCAGGACTGAAACCTGAACTATGACAATTACTGTCCTGTAAGTAAATATTTTAATAGTTATCTTCAGGTTATAATACCATGTAGTCTGGTAGGTTGGTACCAACATTTCAAAAGAAACTGCTATAACCATGACATATAGTATACAGAGGCAGTATGTTCTTCTGCAATGTTGGTACCTACTTATCTACTTGCCAGGGTTACATGATATAACTTCAATATGAATTTTCACTGCTATAAAAAACTTATATACCACATAAGTGATCATTTACCTTGTTTTCTTTAATTGCCTTCTGTATAGAAGCAAAAGGCATGTTATATTTTCTTGCTTGTGCAATTGTACTTGACAACTGTGAATTGAAGTTAGGATCAGAGCTTCCACCTTCTGAAAAGTATAACTTTAATATTAGTTGGTAACAAAGGTGTTACTTTCCTAAGCACTCTTATGTGCAACTATTGTTGTATACTAATACAAAGATTCAAATAAATATTCTTAGTTTAATGAAACAATTTCAAATACTAAATTCCAGAGAACAAAAACAATGTATTTACAGGTAATCATGAATCATACAGAATAAAAAGAATTCACTGCACATAGAACAGTAAATATGACAGATATCTATACAGAAAAATTATCTCATCAGCCATACCAAACCTGCACATTAATTCTCAAAGACTGCTATTTAGATATATTTGGCTTGTACTTAGTAAACATGCCGGTCACGGTAGCCGAGCGGTCTAAGGCATGTACTGTCTTCGCTTGCTGGGAAACCGGGATCATGGGTTCGAATCCCACTCAGGGCATGGATGTTTAGTTTGTGTGTGTGCGTTTTTCTGTGTTTGTGTACAGGTAGAGGCCTTGCAACGAGCTGATCACCCACCCAAGGAG